CTGCAGAGCTCTGACTTCAATGAGCATCCTTTATTAAACAGAAGCAAGGAAGTCTGACGTTTCGGGTCTGGACCCTTGATGAAACACCAGCTTTCCTGCTCCTCTGACTGCTTGGCCTGCTGTGTTCATCCAGCTCTACCCAACGATAATCAATAAGTTGCTTCTGTTTAATAAAGGATGCTCATTGAAGTCAGAGCTCTGCAGAATGCAGCTCTGGTTTGAAATCCCTGTACGCTTTGATGTCTTTGGAATGTTGGAAAAATTCTTAACTAACAAGGGGAGTTAAAGGGGACAGGCAGAAAAATGTTGAGGTCACGGTCAAATCAGCTGTGATCTTATCCAATAGCATGGTAGCTTTGAGGGTACGAATGGCCTCCTCCTGCTCTGATTCACATATTTACATCATTGTGGTATCCCTGTCCCTGAATCCATTTCTTCCAAACAGCCTTGCTGATTGTTGCTTGCCTGTTACGTTTACCGATGTAACAATAATTACTACACATTAAATGTAACAAAAATTACTACACATGGAATGAGGATGTGAAAGGCTCTAAATGAATGAAAATTCCCTCTCTTTGTTATCACTTTATTAAAACTGGTGGTCAGTAGTCCAAATTGTATACCACAGCAAATAACAAAATAGATTATTTGTCAATGGAAATAAAATGACCATTAAAAACTGGTGGATTATTACAAAACCCAAATTGGCTCATTCATGTCTTTAGCATAGGGAACTTGCCGCCATTATCAGGTTGGACCTGTATGTGACTCCTGTCACATATTAAGCAGGTCATTTTAACATGACCTCTGAGGCAGCAGAGTGGGCAGATTGCATTAGGTTCAAACTTCCATTCAATTTTGTTTTTAACTGTCCTGGGTATGAACCCAGTTACCATTAGGTGGGATGGGTTCCAATCGCTCCCATTCAGAGCAAGATCCTGACACTCCAGGGAATTACTGAGCCACAACAGAAATACTGGATGTCTGGTTCAGTTCCAGCTCCATTGTCGTCTCTCCCAGGCTTTGTCTGGATCAACAAGAAAACTCGTTAAACAATAATCGCTCAGGTCCTAAAACATTGACAGAATCTTGAAGTGCTGAAATTCCATGAAGGAGATTCCTCTCAGGAAACTTTGACAGTACAGCCCAAAAGACATGCAGCACAACTGGTAAAGTTATAGAGCCAGAGAATAAAGCAGGCATTCCAACTCCCCACCCACAATCTTTTACCTCTCTACCCTGATGCCACAGCTTTACACCATCCACCACCCCCCCACCCCAACCCCGCCCCACCTCCCCTGCCAAATCAACCCCACCATCCTGCTCGCAGAGTCAATCGTCAGTTGGGTGATGGTTGGGGTAGTGGTTACAATTGTTTGTAGAAGGTTAAGGTTAAAGGGTTAATTTTGGAGACTACATTAAGCTCCACCCAATCTATACAGCTTGGTGTCAGGAAATTGGGAAAGTAGCTCTAGATCTTATAGGGGATTTATGTGTTGTTTGTGTTTTTCACTAGATTTTGTAGCAATGTTTAACCAGCTAATGTAACTTGTACTTGATTGCCATCATGCTATAAACTACACCTTTTAAACTTAAGGGCCTCTTCTTGCTAAGATTCATTAGTGGTTTTCCTCTACACTATAAACCAAATAGGCCTTTAGACCTGGTCATGGAAAGAAGAATGGAGCAGCACCCTTCCACCCACAAATACACACTGACCCAATGAGACTTTGTTTCTCAAATGTACTTCAAGGGCAAAGGTATGAGGAAAGATTAAACAAATTAGGATATAGATGGGTCAGAGGAGCACTACTGCTGTATGACAGTAGTGTAGGGATACAAAAAAATATATAAACAGGAGATTTAGAATCTCTCCATTCAGGGAAAGAGAAAAAGAAATATACGGATCGGGGCGATTTATTTTTATTCATTCTCAGGATAAGGGCGTCGCTGGCCGGGTCAGCATTTATCGCCCATCCCTAATTGCCCAGAGGGCAGTTAAGAGTCAACCATATTGCTATGGGTCTGGAGTCACATTTGGCCAGACCAGGTAAGGATGGCAGTTTCCTTCCCTAAAGGGCACTAGTGAACCAGATTGGTTTTCCCCCAACAATTAGCAATTGATGCATGGTCATCATTTGACTTTTAATTCCAGATTTTGATTGAACTTAAATTCCCTCCATCTGTGGTGGTGGGATTTGTACTCAGATCCATAGCTCATCAGCTGGGTCTCTGGATTAATAGTCCAGTGATCTTCTCTTTGACCAAAGTTTGCAATATGTTGGAGTCATAGATAGAGTAGATAAAAAGAAACTATTTCTGATGGATGGGCCAGAGAATATAAATCAATAAAATAAAACTAGGCCTTTATAGAAGAGAGATGAGGAAACATTTTGACACATGAAAAGTAGCAGAAATTTGGGACTTCCTTCTGTTAGATCAGTTGTTAATCATAAATGTGAGATTTGTTAATGAAATGTAAACATATTAATGGATACAGAGCAAGCAACCATGATCCCAATTATTGGCAGAATGAGTTTGAGGGACCTAATGGTCAAAATCCTGTTGATGAAACAGACCAGGCGCTGAGGGTAATAACGGTCAATTCATCTGTATTCATGACTCAACCTCACAATTCCCTCACCGCCCCTCGCTATGATACTGTCTTCAGATTCCCTTCCACATGTTACCACATATCCTGTCACTACACACCCCCTGTTGTTAGTCACTAACAGTCCCCATTAACAACTATTCACCCTCCCAGCCTGATTGTTAGCAACTCCTTTGTCTGTCCAACTGTTTTTCTCTCTCTTTGGGATCTATCCTATCGTTTACTCCCTACCCCACCCACCTCCCTATTTTCTGCATATAAACTGACGTTTTCCCAGCCACCATCAGTTCTGAGGAAGGGTCATTGGACCCGAAATGTTAACTCTGTTTTCTCCTTCACAGATGCTGCCAGACCTGCTGAGCTTTTCCAGCAACTTTGTTTTTGTTCCTGATTTACAGCATCCACAGTTCTTTTGGGTTTTATTCAGATTCCCTTCACATAGTTAAAGAACAATCTGGAAAAATATCCAGGGCTGCCATAGTGGAGGCTGGGAGAGCCAGTACAGGCCCTGATGACTAAAGGTCATCACTGCCAATTAATGACAAAATCAAACCAATTTTCATTGGCAAAAGAAAGATTGATTCAATGACTGTTTGTAGTAAGAAAACACACTATTTTCCATTCCTTTTTCTATATACCTGTTATTCAATTACTCCAATGGGATTGACAGCAAAATAATGTTGTTCCAACATAGACATTCTGGGCATGTTGGACTTGAGGCATATTGAACTGAACAAAATGGTTTTAAATCCAGTGCAGGACTGTGGAATGACATTTGAAATTAAGAATGATTACAAAGCAGGAATTGTCACATGATAGTAAATGGGTGAGATTATATTTTGCAAGCTGAAAATATATCCCATTCTGGTCTTAACTGAAGATTGATTGTTTCATAGAAAATCTAATTTAAAAACCATTGGCAAGGTCATTTAGACTCTGTGATAGTGTCAAACAGGCGAGGGTGAACCTGCAGCTTGTTGCATATCTCTTCCCATAGAAACTGATAGAAATAAAATGCAGGTAGTGACATAAACAGCTTCAGGCTCACTGTTGTCAGAGTAATGCAGAGGTAAAATTGGTTTCTAAAGAAGGGTCATTAGACCTGAAACATTAACTGTTTTTCTCTCTCCTCAGATGCTGATAGACCTGCTGAGTTTCTCCAGAAATTTGTTTTAGTTTCTATGTGTGTAACAGATTTTATCTACATATCTAGTTCATACACCAACTCTAGTACCTTTCCACGAACTGTTTACTTCTCCCTAATTCCATTTTAACTAATCAAACAGTGAGTATGAATAGCAAACAGCCTCACATAATAAAACACAGAACAACTGAACACTAAATGTCAGCTTTTCTGCTCCTCTGATGCTGCTTGGCCTGCTGTGTTCATCCAGCTCTACACCTTGTTATCTCAGATTCTCCAGCATCGGCAGTTCCTACTATCTCTGTGACAACTGAATACAACTTTCCTAGCCTTGTGAAAACTAAGTATTTCATTTGAAATGAAATTATCTGAAACAACATGAAAGTGTTTACTTTTCCCTGAGTCCACACCCAGGCTCAACAAATCAAACAGCGTGAGCACCAGTAGTAAGCAGGCTCACATTATCAAAGATAGACAACTGATCACCACATTCACTGCCACCTATTCTTCACAATTGTACAGAGTGGAGATCACTCTACCCCATTCTCCTGTATTATTTATTGCTGATTTGGTCGTGGGCCAGTTATATAAAAACTTGGCATAAGTTATATCCTAGAAATTTCTTCCTCAACAATGTCAACCAATGATTGTTTCATTCCCTCAGGAAAGACAT